TCGGACACAACTTTAGCAGGTGTAGAAACCTAGCTAGCTGCCAGTTCTGTGCTGAAAACCACCTAACTACTCAGCACTTCTGTAGCATTTGCAAAGTAAAAGGAAAAGCTTGTAACCACACGCTCCCAAAATGCAAAAACTGCAAACAAACCCACTTTGCGAATAGCAAAGACTGCGAGGTCCTTCTAGCCATTAAATAATGATAGAAAACCTTAAAGTACTACAAGTAAACTTAAACAAAAGTATACAGGCTACAGAGTCAACGCTACAACTAGCAACTGAGCTAAAAGTTAATATTATTGCAATCCAAGAACCGTGGATTGCACCCTCTAGCAGCAATAGCTACGAAGCTCCAAGGTTAATAGCCCACCAAAGCTTCTACCAAATCTTTCCAAAAGCAGGTCCAAACCTCCGCCCAAGAGCTCTATTTTATATATCTAGATCTCTAACAGCAGAGGTTAGCCAGCTAGAAGAGATAGCTGATCCCGACGCTATTGCTATCACGATATAAGAAGGACGCTTAAGGTTCAATATCTACAATGTATACAACCAAAAAAACTATGAAAACATAAAAACCTTTCAAAGAATACTTGCAAACACCCGGCTACCAACATCTACTCTTCTACTAATGGACGCTAATGAGCACCACCCTTGGTGGGACCTAGGTAGTAGTAATACTAGCTAAGGCGGCCAACAACTAGCAGATTGGATAGAAGACTAACACCTTAGCCTTCTAAACACGCCAGGCACAGCTACTTTCTTTAGACCCCATCTATCTAGAGAAACAACGCTAGATCTATCTATCGCCACACCAGATCTAGAAGACAAAGTTAAAGACTGGCAAACCACGACAGAAACCGGATCTGATCACTACGGGATACTCTTCTCAATCCAGACAACAAAGAACCTAGTTAGTAACCCTACTAGCCAAAAAAGATATAATACGAAAAGGGCAGACTGGGACCTATTTAGAGAAGAGCTAGACAGAGCTATCTAGAGCAACCAAGCTCTCCAAGGCCTAGATTAGATTAACTAACCAAGAAAAGCAGATTTAAGAAACTTACTCCTAAGCCAAGACAACGAGCTTAAGCTGCAGCTAGACGCAATTGGAGAAGCTATTACTCTAGTAATCTAACAAGCTATAGATAAAGCTATTCCACAACTAAAGCTGGGGCTAAAAGCAAAGCCCTGGTGGAGCTAGGAGTTAACTAAGCTACGAAGAAACGTATCTTACTGCCAAAGGATATTCGCGCAACAACTTCAAGCTACCTCTATAGAGGAAGCCTATCTCTTTAAAAGAGACTTCCTTCTAGCACGAAACACCTACCAAATGGCAATTAAGAAAGCTAAAAGAGAGCACTGGAATAACTTTCTAGAAAAAGAAAACCCACAATCTATCTTCAAAGCTATGGACTATACAAAGGAAAAGAGAGTAGAAAGAATCCCTTCTATCCAAGGAGAGACGCTAGAAACCTCGTTTAAAGGAAAGTGTAAAGCCTTTCGAAAAGCACTATTTCCTCCGCCTCTAAGTACAGTACCACCAAGCTTCAATAACTACTAAGAGAAAGAGTGGGAGTGGCCAGCGCTATCAATAACCGAACTAGAATATGCGTGTTCTAATAAAGTAAAAAGTAGCACACCAGGCCAAGACGCTTTATCACATGAGATTATCACAGCTGCCTACCAAGCTTAACCAAACACGTTCTTTAAAGCTTACTCTCTGCTATTCAACTATGGATACCATCCAACGTGCTGGAGAAGAGCTACAGGAGCTATTCTAAAGAAGCCGTCCAAACCCGACTATTCTATCCCAAAGGCCTATAGAGTAATTACTCTTCTAAGCTGCCTAGGCAAAGTAATAGAACGGATAATAGCTAAAAGACTCAGCTACCTAGCCGAGACTACAAGCCTTCTACACAACTCACAGATAGGAGGCAGATTAAAGAAATCAGCTATCGACGCAGCTCTCCTACTTGTAGATCAAATCCAGCACCAAAAACAACAAGGCTACACTACATCAACAGTCTTTCTAGATGTTAAAGGAGCGTTCGACCACGTTTCCCACAACCAGTTCCTAAATACACTAAAAAGGCTAGGCCTACCTATCAGCCTAATCACCTGGGCTAAAACCTTTCTGTCTAATAGATCCCTAAGGCTCGCCTTTGACGGCCAAATAGAAGACTTTAGCGAGATTAATGCGGGCATTCCACAAGGCAGCCTAGTATCTCCAATCTTCTTTCTGATCTACATTAGAGATCTATTCCACCAAATAGATGGATTTCAGCTCTCCTACATCGACGACATCTCCATCACAACCTCATCAACGTCCATTAAGAAAAACGTTAAGATACTACAACAGGAGGTTAAGAAACTAGTTACTAAAGGAAAAGAACTAGCTATCGAGTTCGATATAGCGAAAAACAGAGCTATCCACTTTACAAAGAAGAAAGAAAGAAAAGAAATCCCCCTAGAGCTTCCTAGTAAGG